CTTCCCTGTATTTTTAAATTACTTTTGTACTTACCATTTTTTTTTTTTCTCTTAGTACTAGGTATTGAACTCAATCAAGGCCTTTGCACTGAGTTACATCACCAGCCCCTTACTTTGAGGCAGGGTCTCGCTAAATCACTAACTTACAGGGCTGGAACTTCAGGTCCTCCTGCCTCAGCCTCCCAGAGTGCTGGGATTACAGGAGGGCATCAGTCATGCCCAGCTTCCAGTCACCATCTTGCATCTAAATCCATTATTGTCTCTAAAATGCAGGAGCTGTGAGAGCAGGATGCCATTTGTTCATTGATATTCTCTCCCCCACCTAGAAGGGGTCTGGGACGGAGCAGGGCCGAGCAGTTGCCAAGGGCGCGGGGCCGTGGGAGAAGACACGGCAGCATGGCCAGCGTCTCCTGAGCCTTCGAGCACGGGTTCCACCAGCTTGCTCACCAGCGGAGAGACTTCGGACGAGCTGGAGACTCGGTTTTCAACACATGCTGGACCTGCAAGCCATCTGTTAAACTCTGTCCCCCTAAAAAGCTACATACTGGGAACCGGCGCAAAGAGCCAAAGTCGCTCTGGGAACGTGCATCGAGTCTTGCTTCCCGTCAGCTGGGCCCGCAGATCACAGCAAGACCGAACTGCTACACGGCTGGGATGATGAGGCGAGGCGGCGCCCAGTGCTGTGCTTCGGCTGTGGAAGCAAGTCTCCAGGGTCAGAGGAGGGGGGAGGTGATCGGATCCCGGGGCGCGGTGGCCCCCAGGGGGTTCACCTGCAGGTGAGGCCAGTCTGGCAGGAGGTGGTCAGGGTGCGGGCTGAAGCTGTGTTCTTCTTTTTTCAGTTTTGAACCAGGATCTTACTGTACAGTCCACGTTGGCCTTGAGCTCACTTAAGCAGTCCGGGTAGCCTCACACTCACCCAGGCTGGACTACACATGAGATTTTGCCTCAAAAGCAAAGGGCAGCGGAGGGGACGCCATGGGGACACAGCCACAGCCAGAAGCCGGGGGGGGCACCTGGGGTCACCGAGAGCGTGCCACTCTGCTGGACCCTTGGTTTTGGACTTCAGCTGCAGAGCTGGGACACAGTGAACCCCTGGGGTTTCCAGCCATCCAGCTGCTGCCGCCTTCCTAGGAAGTGAACGTGAACCCGCAGCCTGCAAGGGAGTCCAGGTGGCTGTGTTAGACGGGGTACGAAGCCTGGACCCCGCAAGGCCTGAACTCTGTCGTCTGCCTCTCTGAGAATTCTGCAAACAGGACCAGACGCTGGCTCTGCGGGAGGAGCCGGTCCATGATGCCTGCACAGCTCCAAGGACAGGGCTGACCACGAAGGGAGAATGTCCCCTGTGGCGGACGTTAAACAATAAAAGCACTCAGCCTGTGCTGAACTTACCAGAACAAAAGGCTTTGAACGATGAAAATTTAGCAAATATGTATACAGTCGTGGACAACACGACCAAGTTATGGGTGATGCTGGGCGGCAGCTAAATGGTGGTTCCCGAACATTAGGAAGGAGCTGAGACCGTCCTGTCGCTCGGTGACACCGTGGCCGTCCTACCCCACTTATCCCTCTCGGACTGTGGTGACACTGCCAAGTGCGCCAGCCCCGTGGGAGCAGATGGCATACAGCAGTCACATGGACCACGATAATCCCTGCTGTGTTAACCACAGGTGCATCTGCTGTACCTTTAATCCTTGCTTTAGAACGTAACGCCATCTGTTTAAAATTTATGGGACCAGGAATTTAGCTTGGTGTGTAAGCAATTGCCTGGCAAGCCTGAGGTTGTGAGTTCGATCCCCGGTACCAAAAAAAAAAAAGAAAAGAAATTTACTGCAAAACAGCATGCAGCGTGACCCAGCGGGAGCCTCCTCTCACGATGCCAGCAAGAAGCCACAAGCCTGTGGTGATGTGTATCTGACACCCCAGCAGTCTAGGAGGCGGAGGCAGGAGGACTGCAAGTTAGAGCCCAGCCAGGGCAATTTAGCAACTTAGTGAGATCCTGTCACAAAATAAAAAAAGAGCTGGAGATGGAACTCATTGTGAAGGTCCTGGGTTCAACCTCCAGCCTGCACTACATAAATAAATAGCCATTCCCCCAGGTATAAATACACTCTGCGACATTCACGCAGTGACAAAACTACTTAACCATGCATTTTGCCATCAGCAAGTGACACAGCGTTTAATAGCTAAGGTCGTGGGGTCTGGGGACCCAGCTTAAGGGTACAGACTTACCTAGCATGCATGAGCCCCCAGGTTCCATCCCCAGCTCCCCAAAAGAGAGAGAGAGAGGAGAGGAGGAAGGGAGGAAGGGAGAAGTTACATGGTAGTCAACAACTTCAGTACTTAACAAAATGATAGAAGCAAAATCAAAGAATTTGAGAGTAGCCCAGCACAAGTGGAGGATTGTGACAGACAGTTGGTAGAAATGGGAAAAAATATGCACCAGGACAAGAGGCTTCTTTCCAAGCATGCATGTCTCTCTAGTAAAAAGCCATCAAATCCTGAAGCAGAACTGGGTGAAAGTCTTAGACCAACTCGATAAAAAGCAACACGTGAACAAGGGTAAAGTGCGTTCGCATAATTAAAACATAACAACTATCAAGCTGGACATGGCGACACCCGCCCATAATCCCTGCCCTTAGGGAGATCACAAGTTCAAGGCCAGGCTGCATCCAATGGGGAAGCTGTCTCCAAAAACAACACACAAGCCATCAACATCCAGAATGGTGAAGACTCAGGAGGCAGCGAGCCACTTTTTTTACAGCAATTAAAAGAAAAACCATTTTATACAGTGCTGTCTTCAGTTATGGTCACCGGGTTCTTGAGTGTGAAGAAAGCAGGGCAGGGAAGTTGGTCCTCCCATGGCAGCCCGAGCTGACCCGTCTGGATGGTCGGGGCTTGGGTAATGCCACCCTCTGCAAAGCTCAGCCCAGGCGGGAGCACAGCACGCCCCTGCCAATCTCACTGCACGGCAACCTCACCCCATTCAAGCTCCTCAAGATGCCCACTTTTAAAGAACTCTCTTTGCATCTAAAATTCAGGTCTGACTTTTTGCTCTAGCCGCTATCAAAGTCAGAACTGTGCAGAATCCATTTTTATCTCACATGGCTCTCAGACCGCAGTAAGCTCCAGTGGGTGTCTGGCAGGGTGAAGGATTTCCTGCCTCCTCTGCTGGATGCAATCTCTCGTTAGAACACTGTTAGGTAACTAGGATTCATAGCTCGCCAAACCTCATCTTAGACACTTATGTGGGTTTTCCCAAATAACCCTCAGCAACTTAAATCCTAGATGTTATTGCCAGCTAACAGGGAAATTAAGCAGCAAATACAGGAAATATAAAGTGACTAACAGTTAGCGATTGCACAACTTTTTCTCATGGGCATTTTCCAAAGCTGGGAAACAAACTGGAGGTACCGTGGCAGACAGGAAAGTGCTCGCAGATACCCTGAGGTTCGGCGTCTACAGACGCGTGGAGAAATCTCCAGGTCGGTTCCTGGAAGGCCTGAATGTTTGAGTCGTAAATATCAAACATCTGTGCCCGAGGCTTGTTCAGCTGTGTCTGAGGAGTCATGATCAGACAGGAGACGGTGGTGTGGCAGCAAAGGGCGACCTTTAAAGGTTTTATAGGTGCACGATCAGCTTTCCCTCATAAAAATAATGAATCCTCAGTCCTCCGAAATCAAGACCTGTCTGGAGAAACACGTTTGGCCTTTCCGATTCAGAGGTGACACCCCACAGCCAGCTGAGCCCTGACCACACCTTCACGAGAAACGGAAATAGGAATGAGGAACTCCATTGGCTAAGTCCAGGGTGCAGATTTCCTGTCATGGTGACGAAATACCTAAAATAATCAACCCAACAAGGGGAAAGACTTATTTTGGGTCATGGTTCCAGAGATCTTCAGTCCCCAGTCACTTGGCCCTGGGGTGGCCCCACAGAGCGGGGACACATGGAGGAGATCTGTCACCCCAGAGATGGCAAGAAGCAGAAAGACAGGGGGAGGAGCCAGGGTCCCCCAATCTCCCTCAAGGGCGCCCCCTCAATGACCTGTCTCCTGGGCACCCTTGCTTGTTTGCCTGAGACACAGTCTCACTGTGTGGCCCAGGGTGGCCTTCAGTTCGGGACCCTCCTGCCTCAGGTTCGTATCTTCAACCTCCTAGATTCTTCTGTGGTGCTTAAATCCAGCTCCTAATTTAAATCTCTCTCTCTCTCTCTGCAAAAACAACCGAACTTTATAAAAGCATGCCCGCCAGTTACGCACTTGTTTCAAGTCTATAGGCCACGTCTCAGAAGAAGCAAACATTTCTGTTTCTTCCAGATACTTTACGTCTCATAAACTGCCAGTCTCCCTGGACAGAAAGCTGTGTGCTCCCGTCTGTTTTGCGAAGTCTTTCCTGTTTTTGACAATTTCTGGTAAGGTTGTAATCACGAAATAGCCTGTGCCTCCTCTGTCCCCTTCATGCTGTGACTCACAGGACAGGGAAAACACCCCGACAGTCCACCAAATCCTGCTTCTGAGGCATGTTCTTTGTATCTCTGGCCTGCCTCCCGACTTGCCCAGGCTTTTGACACGGGTCCTCTTCCTCTGCAGAGTGTCCGAGGGCCAGATGGAAAAGCCACTGGCTACATTGACACACACTAATTTGGCATCGAATTTCCTCTTGGAAACGCTCCTTTCCAGAATGTAGATGGAGTATCCTGTGGGTGTCGGATGTACGGCGAGGAGGAAATTCATTCTTTCTGTACAAGTAAACCCTTCAGGGTTGCTCTGTGAAGCTTTGCTATTTGCTCCTGGAAAAGATCGCCGGTGCGATGTGGGAAACCCACAGGGTTTGTGCAGTGGGTCAGACAGGAGTTAACAGCGTCAGGCTGCTAGACCCAGCTAAGTCCATTCTTTGCAAACAATTCTGCAGTGTCACCTCCATGTGGATTTATACACAGCACTTCACCGTTCAGATGACACACTGAAATATTTTAAAGAGCAGATTTAAGACTATGTTCTTGGCACTTGAGTATGTTTTTGTCTTAACTTGGTGGACTGAAAACTTACTGAACAGGTACAAAAAATAAAAACCTCTTTTGCAACGTAGAACTCATTGTTCAGTATGAGTTTTGATACATATAAGAAGGAATATTATTGAAAAAAAAGACTTTATGCATTAATTCCTAGTTCATAACATTCCCCCCAAACATACTGCGTAAAACTAACTTTACGTTGAGGTTTTTGTTTTGTTTTTGTCATTTTAAGACATGGTCTCGCTATGCAGTTCAGGCAGGCCTTCAGCTCACTTTGTAGCCCAGGCTGGTCTTGAACTTGCAAAGATCCTCCTGCCTCAGCCTCCCGAATGCTGGGATGACAGACGGGCACAAGAATTTCCATCTATATATTTATTTAGAACCATGAATTACAATGACTATGACAGTTTCCTGACTCTCTTACAGTTTTGGTGATAATTTAAAGATAATTTGAATCTCCAAACTGCGGCTGATTTCATTTCTATTGGCTTGAGGATGACATGAATGTCTTGGCAAGGTGACCACAGTGATACAAGGTGACAGCGATCCAGCATGGTACTGGGGTGCACACCCTTGGTACAAGGAGATTGAAACCACATTTTTGCGAACCCTCCTACCCCACCCCAATCCCCAGTAACTCCAGTCAAATCATGAGAGAAAATATCAGATCAATTCCAATAGGGGAATTGTGTTAGTCCTTCTGGCCTGCTACAACAAAGCACCGTGAACCGCGTAGCTTGTCATAAAACGGAATTAGGAGTGGACACCTTATGTCTTATACACCTAGAGGCTGAAAAGCTCAAGATCAAGGTTTCAGCAGACTTGCGTTCTGGTGAGGTCTGTTTCCAGTTCCTTCTCCTGCGTCCTCAAATGGAAGGAGGAAAAAGAGAACTTGGCCCTCTCAGCCCCTGAGAAGGGCACTACCCCCATTCCCAAGGACAGCACCCACAAGACCAGCTCACCTCCCAAGGCCCCGTCCCCTAACACCATCACCTTCAGGGGTGCATTTGAAACGTGGGTTTGGGGAGACACAGACATCGGATCGCACCTGGTGGTGCAGCTCCAGTCTGTCAGGGTCAATGAAAGCAGCAGAAGTCTGAGAAGCTGCCACCGCCCAGAAGGACCTGAGGCGGTACAATGACCAAGTGTGGTGTGGTGTCCTACACGGACCTTGGAACGGAAAAAGGACAGGAGGAGAAACAAAAGCAAAACAAAATAACCTACGGAAGCCTGAATAAGCATGGGCCTTAGGTAAACAGGACTCATCAATGGCGATCCCTTAATTGTAACAAATGCGCCACAGCCACGTAAGACATCACTAACAGGGCACACTGAAGTGGTCACAGGGGCTCTGTACTGTTGTCTTGATTTTTCTGTGAATCTAAATTGTTCAAAAAACAGTTCATCCTAAAATTGATACAACTATTTTTCTAAAATGCCACAGCCTTGTTTGTAAAGGGTTCAAACAAAAGTTATAGAAACAGAGAGAAACAAAGAAAGAAAACAAATGCAAAAAACCCTAATATTGGGAACTATCTGGGAACTTTCTGTACTAATCTTGTGGCTTTTCTGTACGTCTGCAATGATGCCAATTTTTTTAAAGTATGGCAAAAAATTTCCATAAACAAAAGATTCATATACTAAAAGGGGAAAATGTTTGTCAGATAAGTGACAATGAATTTATCCCCTAGTAGATATAAATCACAAGAAAAAGTCAAACTCACAATAGAAAACATAAACAAATTAGTCACATGAGAAGTTTAAGAGGCAATCAACCTACGTGTGTAAGGTCACGTCTACGTAAATATACATGTGTATATATGCATTCAATGTTAATATCAAAAGAGAAATGTAAACTTTTTAAAAGCTGATGAGATTTTTGCCTAATAAATTGCTCCTCAAAAAGCTACAAACTAAGAACAAAACCTGAAACTAACAACAACCATAAAATCCAGAGTCAGAAAGTACATGGTTAAACGGGCACCTCCCGGCTGCCGGGTGCCAGCTGGCCCAGCGATGACTGAAAATTAGCCACAAAAGGCCTTAAAGATCCTTTGATTCTGCATTTCCTTTGACTTAGAGCGTATCCACAGGAAATGAGCAGAGATGGAGAAGTTATATCTGAGGCAGTTATTGTATTATTTATAAAAATACTATATTACATGTCCAAGAGTTGGGATTCATCGAATGTGGCTCATGCTCTGTCCTTACGCTGGACTACTACACAGCCTCAAACAAGTCCTATTGTGGAAGAGTGTTTCCTGACCACGAGAAGAGCTACTGGCACATATACCGGTCAAGGTAGTTACCTCTGAGCTGCATTACGATTTCAGTGGTATTTTTGGTGGCATGGTGCCACGTGGTACCATGAAAAGAGTATCTATACAGCTTGTGGGACTCAGCCCAACTGTGGTTCTGAATCTGAAGAAAAGTCATTGCTGGATCAAGCAATTGATAAGCCTAAGGGAAAGCTAAAAAATCCATCTTAAAATATGACACAGATTTTATGATAAAACACTGATTTTTTTCCCAGCTTAAAGAATGGTTATGAGCACACCTGTAATCATAGTACTCAGGAGGCCGAGGCAGGAGGATCACAGAGATTAGAGGCCAGTTTGGCTATGTAGTGAGTTCCAAGCCAGTGTGAACGCACAGGGAAACCTAGTCTCAAAAAACAAAACAAAACAAAAAAGCAGGGTTCTGATTCATTCATTCTGCACATATTTAAGTATCTGCTGTATCCAAAATGTTATGCAAGGCGCTTGAGGACATTGTGCATGACTGAGTGGGGTGACACAGTCAACACTGACGGCGATGCTGCATGTCCAGGGAGGGCTGCCCAGCTGGGTAAAGAGTCTTATTTGTCCTCAGTAAGCTTATGATAAGCAAGAGTGATCAAAACAGTTTTTCAGCTAAGTGCTGCAGGGGCAGGCAGAGCCCTGGAGGAGGCCACAGTGCAGCGACGACACAGACGTGGGGGGCGTGGCTGTGACCACAGGGAAGGGAGTCATCTTCTCATCCCCTCTGGCTGCGGTTGCCGGGGAAACGCTGGGCGGAGAAGCCTGGGGACAGCGCGGGGGATTTGGAGACAGTGGATCCCGGGAGGCCCTCTTAGCGGGGCGGGAGTGTTTCAGTTTGGCTGAAATCATGCTTAAGGCAAGGCAGTGAGAGCTGAAAACATAAATCAGAGAAGAAAGAGGTTCAGGTGTCCATGGGAGACGTTTGGGCTTCCATGGAGGCCCATGGAAGGGCCTAAAGGTTTCTGAGTGGTTTGGAAGCCCAACCAATTCTGCTCTACAAGGATTCAGAGGGTCCCTGCCTCTGGAAGTCTGTGAAAGCAAACACAGTACTTTAGTACATCTTTACAAGGCACGACAGGACTGATCTCAGCGCCCTGCTTTAGGCGGGAAGTGTGGCTTCCAACCGGCCAGAACATGAGGAAGCTGTCACCTCCTGAAGGCATCTGCTGATCCCTGCGGCTGGAGCAGGACCCAAAGGATGCTTGTTTTTGTCAATAAAGTTTTATTGGGACACAGCCCCAGCCATTCCTCTGTGCCTGCAGGGCTGCCTCTGTGCTGTGCTGGCCCAGGGGAAGAACCACAGGGCACACAGCACTGCAGTGTGGGCATTGTGGGAGAATTGTGCTGGTGCCGGATGGGTGCTCCCTGGCTGTGTGGGAGGAGGGGAGGGAGCCCGGGACATGCCTAGAACGGGGTGCATGTGGCAGACTGCATAACGCTTCCCCCAGCGGTCACGCCTGCAGCCCCTGAGCCCGTCTGCACTGGATGTGGGACCCCTCCCTTGTCCCGGAAAGCAAGAGGTTTCCCCAGAACCCCTAACCCCAAGCCTGCCATCCCTCGGGCAGACTCACGCTATCTGTGTAGTGGGAAAGAACAAACACGAAAAACTCCCAGCCAGAAATTCAGTTCGTTGAAGTGACTGCATAAACTTTGGCTCAAAAAGGACAAAACACACAGGGAAAAAAGTTACTAAAACTAGACAGAAAAAGCAGCGCGCATAGTTAAACCCGCAAGGATGACCGATGTTCAGATTACTGGGTACAAAGTATAACATCCACTCAGTGTGACACGATCGTAAAAGAAAACGTCGGACAGGGAAAAAGAGCTTGCTGAAAAATGATCACACATTTTTTACTTGATAAAATAAAGTATCTAATATATAAATAAAGTGTCTAAAATAAATACCTAAAAGCATCTAAACTAAAAATAACAAGCGTGTATTAATATTTTAACGATCATTAAAGTAACAGGTCGAGCTGAAGTGAGCAACGGTGTATTGGAAGATACAGTTGGGGCAGTGACCCCAAACTCAGGCAGAGAGAAAATAAATGGGAAATATAAAAGAATAAGATACATAAAAGACAGAGTAAGAAGGTCTGCTGCTCATCTAGTTAAAGGCTGAGAGACGGAGAAAGGAATGAGGAAGAGGAAACAGGAAATAGGAACAAGGGCTGACAATTATCAGCCAAAAACCAGCAACGCTCAGAGTCAAAGGGCCACCCGCGGCCCCGCTGTGAAAACAGAAACACAGGACAAGGCGTCCAAGACGGAGACAAAAGATGGAAAATCTACAAGAAAGGACAGATTTACAACTAAGTTCTCATCAGTACTGATAATACTGGAAAACAGTGGTCACATTTGCAAAATCTAAGGAAAAAATTCTCAACAATTACATATATAAAAAGCTATCTTTCAAGAACGAGGCTGGGGCTCGACGTGGTGGCGCACTCCTGTCATCCCGGCACTCGGGAGGCTGAGGCAGGAGGATCCTTGTGAGTCTGAAAGCAGCCTGGGCTACAAAGTGAGCTGAAGGCCAGCCTGAACTGCATAGGGAGACCCGTCTCAAAAAGACACAGACAGACAGACATACACACACACACATGCAAGAATGATGCCGGGGAAAGACATTTTCAAACAAGCAAAAACAGGTCCGCATATAATCTCTACAGGAACTTTTGAAAATAAACTTTGCAGGAAGTTAGAAAATTAGCCCTAAAATATCTGAAAATCAAGGGGAGAGAAAACCACAACCACATCAGCAGTAGCAGCTACAACAAAAAGAATCACGTGGTTAAACACAGTCACTCCTTTATACGGGGGAATTAATAAAGCCCAGGATGTGGTTCTGAAGAAAAAGCCACTAGACTCTAGACAAGATCTTGAAGACTCGGGGTACATTACAAGAGAATTTGGAGGCTCTTAGGTCACCTGTCATTACATGTTCCTTGTATTTTTCAAGAGAGCAAGAATTAGCCTTAGACTTTATTAAGCATTTCACAACTTCTAGATAAGCACTGAAAAAGAGAAATAGAGTGACTTCTAAATCAGGGATGCGAGGTGAGGAAAAATGCAGTAAGAAAGACAGGAGGAGGGCTGGGGATTTAGCTCAGTGGCATAGGCGCCTGCCAGGCAAGCGTGAGGTCGTGAGTTCGATCCCCGGTACCAAAAAAAAAAAAAAAAAAAAAAAAGAAAGGAACCACAATTATCAGTAATTATATGGTTCTGTGCTTCTTAAGAGACAGACCTAAAATTTAAGGGCATCCAAATGGTAAAGAAAAGTTTCCAAAAAGTTACGACCAAGTGCTAACCAAAAGAGCATCAGGACGGCTACGGACATATCAAAACAAAATAGACCTCAGAGTCATTCCCGGGGGGCACAGGTTTACTACTATAAACTGTCGGGTTTATCAAAGGATTTTAACAGTTTTTTTCCAGTGCTGTCTTTGCTGTTCTCTCGTTGCGGAGACAAAGTGCCTGACACCCAATATTAAAGGAGCGAATGTTCACTGATCTCACAGCCACACGGGTTTCAGTTGACAGTGAGCCGGTTCCTCGGCACAGCGGCGTCACTGAGGAAAAACGGTTCACGGCAAAGCAGCAGGCAGCAGGTGACTCGGGACGCGCAGCAAACCTCATTCTGCCCTTACGTGTCATCAAGCCTGCCCACCCTAGGGCAGACACACGCACAGCCCTGGACTCCCTTTGTAGCCCAGGCTGACCTGGAGCTCACAGTGACCCTCCCGTCTCAGCCTCCTGCGGCTGGGAGTACAGGAGTGGGCCACCCTACCCAGCCGTAGTGGTCGCATTTAGCAATCACACATTCCAGACCCAGCCACCTCCAAAAAGCCACAACTATGACCAGTGGGACAGGGCTGGGTCATCCAAGGAGCCAGTGCAGAGCCCAGAGAACTGGCAACTGTTGGGGAGACAGACACCTCCTGCTGAGGGCCAGATCTCAAGACAAAGGATCAAACAAATGCACCCACATCCTGGGGACCACATAGCTCCTATCACCCTGAGGAAGCCAGGAGTCACCATCCAGGGCCCCTAAGAGAGAGTCACTGCTCCCTAAGCATGCCCGCTTTCTACGTGACTGGCTTCCCCATTTGTCTCCAAGTTAATCAAGTTTACCTGAACTATTAATCTTATTGGCCAATCAGTTCAGTCCCACTTATGCCCGCCTGCCTTGGGAGTTCCCTGTTTTGCCCACCTTGAATCTATGGCTTTACTCTATAAAAGTCCCTGGAAAAGACAGAGACCTTGGCGATCAGAAGCTTCCTTTCTCTCAATAAACATATTCTGCCCTTAAGCTCTGCTGTTCCTAAAATTCATTCTTCGCTTTTAGACAACAGGAACTCGTACCGAACCCAGCAGGTCGGAGTTCCATCCCCTGTATCACTTCTGGGCAAGCCTGACTGACAGAGCCGGAGGGATGAAGGCTCTTGGCCAAGTGGGACAGCTCTGAAGAGGCAGTTGTGTTCCAGAACGTTCTGTGCTGTCAGAGAAAGCCGGGGTCGGGCCTGCATCGCGATTCAGCCTTTCACTCTGCCCAGTGCTCCTTCCTGTCCCTCACCGCAACACTCTACTAAATAAACGTCTCCATGCCAATGCCCCTTTCAAAGCCTGCTTCCTGAGGAACCAATCTGCAAAAACTATCCAGGGGAGAGGAGCTGGTGAGAGACTGAAAGGCGGAATCACAGGTCAGCAGGGCAGAGGAGACCACAGTTAAACTCCGGTGTGATGACTAGTGCTTGTGTGGAAAGCCCAGGAATGGAATGAGACGGCCACATTAACCAGCAGATAAAGAACCTCAAAGATGACTTTGCTGGGGCTGCTCATGGGCCCCACTGCTACGAGAGAGAGAGAGAAATAAGAGAAAGAAAGGAAAATTATACCTAACCACCGAGACTGCGAAGGGCCAGGGAGTGGCCTGAAAGGTGGTTTCCGTCTAACTAGCATTGTCTTGGTTACTTGGGTGACTTAGTCAGTTGAAGTGTAGGGTCACTGATGTCAAAGGATAGAAAACATCAGGAAATCTGGACGTTAACAGTGTTTAATGCTACAGATAAGAAAACTGCCATGGTGGACACATAATGTTCGACCAACAACAGCCAGTTTCCTGTTTGCCTCATCCACTCTTCCTGATTTTACTCCGGGAAACAGTCAATCATCAACCAATCAATCAATCAGGCCTCTCCCCCTTGCCTGTTTTGAGAGGGAGCTGACTCTGCCCGAGTCCTCAGGTGGCCTTGGCCAAGGTACAGCCTTCTGTTGGCCTTTAGCAAAGACTCATGAGACTCAGACCCAGGGTTTTGTTCAAACCACCAAGTAAGCATCTTTTTAGTCTAACTGGGTCATCCTGGGCCAGTGAACCCGTGTCACGCGTGCCACAGCGGGCAGCAAAGGCTTCTCTGTTGGCCAGCAAGCCAAGGCCCAGCCACGCTGCCCCAACGGCCTCAGCACTGGGTAACAGAGCAACGTGGACACACATGGGCACAGGGAGCAGCAGTGACATCGGGTGACAGCATCTTCACCAAGACTCCTTCACTGGGACTCTGCCCAGCTTTCGCATGGTCACGCAGTGTCCAGGTTTAATTGGAGCTTTGTGACAGATAAGTGGGTTTGGGTTGCATTCTGGGCACTTGGACTCTCAAAGGCTCTCCAATCACTGCCCCAGGCTGTGGTGGTAGCTACTTCAAAACCAAGTCAATGCCAAAGAGGCCAAAGCCTGAAGCTGGAGAACGTGCTGGCCAGGGTCACGTCCCGAACACAAGGATCACGTTGGCCCTGCGGGTAGAGTGCTAGTTTCCTGGTACTGAACCACAGAATTCCTCTTTTGGTTCATAGATCTGAGGGTTTTTTGTTTTATTTTTTTTATTGGTACCAGGGATCGAACTCACGACTGCCTGCTTGCAAGGCAGGCGCTTATACCACTGAGCTAAATCCCCAGCCCCTATAGATCTGAGTTTATAAACCATTTATTTCCAGAAATCCTGTAACATGAGGCAGAGGTTCCATATTCAATTTCGGGCCTATCTTTTGTTCATGACGAAAGAATAATTTATAGTAGTTAAAAGTAAACTGAAATCGTCCGGGCTTGAGTCCACAGTCATTCTGCTTGCAGCCCAGGGCGGAGTCACAGCCTGGGTGTGAACTGGGTGTAGTAACGGCCTGCCTCATGCTGCTTTTGCAGAGTTACACTAATCATGCCAGGCCTGATCTAAAGCCTGGTTCCTTCACGGTCCCTTTCGTTTGGGAGCTGCTGATCGCAGACCCGGCTTCTAGACCTGATATTCTGTGGCTGCACTGGCTGATTCTGCTGCGTGTGCTTCCAGTAAAATTTGTGACCTCCTGGACACCTGTTTGAATTTGTTGTATGGGTTCCAGTTCTTTCCTACGTTGTGTGTTTACAGTTTCCACCATTTTCCTAAGCGCCTTTTTAAAAAAAGTCTGTTTACTCTAGACTCACTAACCACGCCCTCATGCTTTTTAGTGAGGGCTATAAACGTGCTCACTGTTATTAGGAGTCATAATCATCAGATCTTCATAAGCACATCATTCCTGTTTAGAAACCTCCACGGCGGATGAGCAGACATCCCACATCTGACCTGGGCAGAGGTGCTCCTGAGCGGCAGCTTGTCACTGGGTGAGCGTCACTGTACTGAGGTCTCTGGGTATAAAGCTTCCTGCATTTATGATACTGCCTTAGTTTACAGTGTTCAAAGTCTGTTTGATTCTCAAAGTTTTGTTAAGGTCATAGAATCTACAGCCTTGCTCTGACGAGCCTATCTTTGTATTTTTATATCAATTAGCTTCTTTGCATTCACTCAAATCTCCTGTCCTATAACTTAAGCTGACACCTGACAATGTCCCCCAGCGCTCTCAGAGCCAGATGCAGGGGTGCCCATGGGTGTTTACAGGCTCAGGAGTAACAGCACACAGACCTCCGCCCTCCCGTGCGCCCTGAACGACAGCTCGCCAGGACGGCCGCCAAGTCTACCATCACAGAGTGCTTTTTCTGTCTTGGCCTTTAACAACCTCCGAAGAGCAAATACCCATCTTCAAGTAAGATGTTCTCTTATGACTCATTCGTGCATTTTGGTTTTAATGAAACAACTCCTGGACAAATTAAATCAGATATAACAGCAAGCAATCCAGAATTTGGAAACCTTACAATGAAACACATTCAAAAATCTCTTAAAGAATAGAGTGTAAGGGGCTGGGGATTTAGCTCAACGGCATAAGCACCTGCCTTGCAAGCAGGCGGTCGTGAGTTCAATGCCCGGTACCGATAAAAAGGAAAAAGACAAAAAAAAAGAGAATAGAGTGTAACAGTGAGCACAGTGACAATAACAAAAAAACAGGCACGTGTCGGGCCCTGATTGGGCAGTGCGGTGTGTTCACAGTCCGTGTGTCTGTCCAGTAGCCCAGGGAGGAGGATCTGCTCTTATCCTCATGCTGCAAAGCACCGAAGGTTTGGTAAGTGGCCCAAAGTCATACAGCTCACGAGGGTCAGCGCCGGACTCGAACCCACATCCTCTGGTTCCCGAGCCCGCTCTCAAACCTTGTATCATTTTCCTGTTTCTTCTCCATCCAGATGAAAGACAATACCTGTTATCAAGGGCCAACCTGGTAAAATAGCACCCAACTGTGTTAGGACTAAGCCTAGAAATAAACATCCCAAGCTTTCTCTTTTTAACATAACAATTTTACTTTTCACATTATTCTGAGCACATGTCTGTGGTTTGCATCTGTGTAAACACGCCTCACGTGTTTATGACCACGAAGTGAAATGCATTTCTGAAATCTCAATGAAAAATTTACATTAATATTTTTAATTAATTAATTTGGCGAGGGACTAGAGCACACCCTACTGGCCAGCTAATAGGAAATACAGCATTTATTTTGGACAAAATGGCTTAAATGTTTAAATCTGAAGATAAAGTCAGACGAATGCCTACAAGAAACTTGAAAAAAATTATCTTAGAACATCTACATTAAAACAGCTAAAATGATGACTCCATAGGACACTAAAAAGTTCTAAAAGGTAAATAAGTTTTAGACCTGGGATATCATCCACCGATAGCGCGAGATGTTTGTCAAGGGAGGGAGCATTAGGTACAAGATGGGCAGCTGTACTAAAACATGCACTGTACACACAGCCTGACCGACCCACTCCGAGGCAAATCCGCTAAGCGTGGTCCCCAGCAGTTAAAACCAAAGGCTGATAAACCACAGCCAGACCCACCGACTAGCAGCCCTTCCTTTAGGGGAAAAGCTGGGGAAATTAGAGTAAAATCCCTAATTACACAAAGAAACCATGAAATGTTGCTCCCCAAATGCTTTTCTGTTCCACCTTTCAAATGTCTCCCAAGAGTAACAGTTCAGTGGAAGCCTCTGTTGTGATGGTCTTCTTAGCGTGCCCATTTTAAGGTAATTCTCGGGGTGGGTCGGGTGTGTGTAATATATATACCTACGCGTGACTGTTCCAAAATACAGTGTGGGACACTAAACAGCCTCCAAGGAGTGCAGTTCCTCCGTTTGTCATTTTTTTTTTTAGCCACACACTTACTCAGACTAGTGAAAAAAAACCCACTTACTATATATTTATATCTATGTCTACACAGAAATAAAGACTCTAGCATACTAAGGTAATGCAAAAAAGTATCTCACCTTAGTGTTTTTTTTTTTTGGTACCAAGGATCAGACTAAAGTATTTATTAGTAGGGCACAAAAACACCTATGATCAAGAAGAATAAACACCAAAATGTGCATACCTTTTTAGAGGACTTCAATACAAAAAAAAACCATAGAGGCACACTAGATAAGGGCCCGGTCCGGCATTCTTCTGTGGCTGCATGACTGTGGAATTTCCTTGCAAGGACAGGAAAAGGCAATGGCCCCAGGAAAACGATGTGATTCTCAGGTTTCTGAGTCAGAACCTCAAGCTTGATCTTGCTCCAAGGACAGTTTCTCCTTGTGCCCCGAGACGAGCAAACGCAGAATGACATTTTGGGTCACTATGACACAATTCTTGTGTTTTCCATTCCAAACAATCAGCTAACATAAATTCCATTGGAAATGGTCTCTGAGTTTTCTGTGAGAGATTAAAAAAAAAAAAAACACTGACTTTAAATTGATTTCCTGTTGAAAACAATTTAAAACATGCTAGGATGAGGGGAAAAAAAAGAGTATTTTCTCTCAGTCATTAATTCCCTCCTGAAATCCTTTGAGGATCAATAGAAGATCACTTTATAGACATCCTGGAATCCCTTCACATAGCTTAGCAGGTTTCCTTTTAATCTCTTCCCAGAGTGCTTTCCAATAATATTGACATATCAGTGTTATTACAAAATATCATTCAGGAGACTCTCAGATGGTAGGTTTGTAGGGTGTAAGCGTTTGCTACTCCTCCTCAGCTGAGAAACCTTTTTTATATGAACCTAATTATAAACTGAGTTCAGGAAGCTAGCAGCTATAACTGGTTTTTCCCCAAAAAATGAATAAATGAGGTATTTATTTTGCAAGTTTAAAATAGAAGACAAAAATCAGATTCATCAAGTATTACTCATATGATTTTTGATAATTTACCAAAACATGAGCACATCCTACAGCTCACGACTATATCCTGTTGATCTTCTTTCTCTAAAGAAGGGGTGTGTTCGATGGTTGCCCTGGAGATTATCACTGTTTTATGAATAGGAGAATGTAAAAGCATGCCAAGAAGGCCAAAGCGCAAATTACAACTGTATTGTGGTGACTCGAAATAGCGTAACCAGGGTTCCTTTCAAATGAAACCGGAGCTCACTGAGTCTCCATTCAGTAAAAGCTGTGCTGTGAGGTCTGAAAAGATGTTCTCAGGCAGACGCAGGCAGATTTGGTTGTTGCACCCTGATAATAGCACACAGGTGAGCAGGGAATGTAACACCAATTTATGTCTGGGTGGGAAGACCTGGACAGATTTTTCTGTGAATCAAAAAAAAAAAAAAAAAAAAAATGTACTTAACTAAGAAAATCAGCAAGTAATTTGCTGATTACTCCATTGTGAGTAATTTTCATGATCCTAAAATAATACTAGATGAACGGCAATAGGTAAGAGGATCAGTATGCCGGGGTAACTTCATGGCTGATCAATATCAGGCAGGGAGGTGACTCAATAGCCCCTGCAGGCCACAAAGAACCATCAGAAGGATAAAGGCAGCTGGTGTCTGTTAAACATTTGTTTATCTTCGACAGAGAAAAGCAAAGGGTAATATATATATATATATATATATATATATATATATATATATACACACACATATGTATATACATTTAATTTGGTGCTTAAAGCCTTGAATTCAAAAGCATCCCTTTCAATTAAAGAATATCTGCAGATAATGGTGCAGAAAAGGCAGATCACTTCGGAGGCGCAGAGTTAATAGTTAACCTGGTAATGAGGCTGGAATCTCGTGCCATATGTTAAACCGCCCCAGTCAGGTAGTGCTGACTGTCCAACTACCAGGCCTTGGGCACCGCTGAGAGGAGAAAGCCACTCAGGGAATCTGCTGAGTCCCGCTGGAGGGTTTCTGTCTGTTTGCCTTTTTCTCACTTTAGCTACTCTTGGTTTGTTATCATTTGGGTTATTTATTTTACGGTTAAAGTATAATCCCAGGTTGCATCACTGGCGCCCCCAGCAACCTCCTGTGCAGCCTCGCTGGCGTCCCCTGCTCGGGCATCAGTGGCCGCCCCTCCCCCGTGCCGAGGCCCTGGAGGCCAGCGGGGCGGACAAGGGACAGGTAAACACGGCTGCGGCGGCCGGGCGGGCGGGCCGGGGGTCAGAGCCCACGAGCCTGCGGCTTCCTGCAGGGACGGCGTGGCCGACGTGACCCCACGCCCGTCGCGGTCCCCGGCGCCGACGCCCACTGCTCCTCCCACCCCACACTGCCCCTCGCTGCCCTGCGCTGTGTCCGGCCCTGTCCCTCGCTGTTCCTCCGGGTCCCGCACCGGCCCGCACTGTGCCCGCATCCTGCCCTCGCTGCCCCTCGCTGCCCCCGACACCCCCGCAGCTGAGGGACAAACGCCACATCCTCCCCAGGGCTGGACACGAGGGGGATTCCACGCGCGGACGGCTTTCCTTGGGCTTCCTAGGAGGACTCGGTGTCAGAGGGCCCCGCGACTGCTCACGGAGCCAGCACAGGGCACAGGCCAAAGCCGCCCTCCACCGGACCACCTCTGCGGACACACCCCGCCTGCCTCCCGCGCGCCGGCGCGACGCCCCGGTGGGCCCCACTCAAACGCGGCCCCAGGGGCATCGCCCCTTTAAGGGGCTGGCCGCGCGGATTGGCTGCGCGAGTGAGGCGGGGCGGGCAGCGTCGGCCGCGGGTTCCGGCGCAATGCTATAAATACAGGCGGCGGCGGCCGGGCGACGGCGGCCGAGTGAGCGGCAGGGCGCGCGCGGGAGAGTGCGAGCGAGAGGCGAGGCGCCTGCGCGGTGTCCGGGCCCCGAGCCCGCGGCGCTGAGCCAGCCGGGACGGACATGCGCGGGAGGGCGCCGCGGGGCAGCCGCCGCTCCCCCGGGGTAAGGGGCCTGGCGCGCCGAGAGGGGGTGGGGCGGCGCGCGGCCGGGAGGCTCGGGGCGGCCACGGAGGGCGGGGGCGTGCGGGCCGAGCGGGGCGCGCTGGGGGCCGGGGCCGGCGCGGAGGTCCGGAGTCTGGGGTCCCGGGGCGCGGCGCCGTCTCTCTCCTCCTCCTCTTCCGAGGCGGCCGCGCTCCCCGCCGGGCCGGGGCCATGCACCCAGGCGCCCAGCACACGTCCCGGCCCCGCGGGCACCGGCCTCGGCCGGCGGCGACTTCGGATCCCCCGCGGGCGGCGGTAGCGGCCGGCTCAGGGGGCCATAGGGGCCCCCCGCCGCCTTAGCGTTCCCAGCCTGGAGCCCGCGTGCCGGTGAAGCCAGCCCCAAAGCCGCTGACCGCTCGTCCGCAGTCGGTCCCGGCTCAGGCGCCGCCGACCCGGGGCCCTGCATCTCTGGGACACCCACGGGCGTTTCCTAAACCTGAATTTCTAAATTCGCCCCAGTTGCCCCGGGTCTTTTTTCTTCCACGTCTAGAAACGACGCTTGCTGCGAATGCCTTTACTGCTTCAAAAGGCGTGGAACTGCAGGGCTGTGTGTTCAAAACGTGAATGCCTGTGGGGAATTTCGTGTCGTTGTATGTGTGTGGTGCCTTCGTACAGATCAGATGGTTCCTTAACCGTGATTGAGGCTGTACTGGTGCTTGGTAGGTCTTTATTAGGGTTTCATCATTGCTTGAAAGAAACCAGTCTCTTACCTGATAAAAAAAAATGTGAATAGATTGTTAGTCATAAACTTAAGTGCAGTCAGAAGAGAGGCTGTAGCTTTAAAAGAGATGTGTTGGTGACTTGAGGTACACCTGCACCACAGGTAGGGCAGGACCGGTTTCTAGGCAACTGTCAGGGGTGAAGAAAGGTGAGGTTTAAAATGCCTTTTTTTTTTCCTCCTGGAGAACAAATGTTCTGCAGTCCAGCCCGTGTGAATCTGAGGATGCAGTGGGGCTGTGTTTGCTGAGGCTGGAACATCTGGGTTCACTTCACTTAATCTTGGCTTAAAAAATACAAAAAAGCACTGTATGTCTTTGCATTTCTGTAATTACAGTTTTGTGAGACATTTTACTCACAGAGACCAAAGACAGTCTAGGTAGCTGTATCAGCAAAAGACCCAAGTTTTCAAAGACTAAAATAGAAGAAGCTGATTTCTTGCTAACCTGCTGGCTCTGATAGATTGTAATGTAAATATGTTGTCAGCCTTTCCCTGCCTAAATATCAAAGGTTTTTACGTGAATCCAAGACTCTGTTTGTCCTTCCCCTCTTTTCCTGCACAGGTAGGGACTTCCCCACCCTGGTGTGTGCTGGTGGACTCTTGCTAGTAGGTGGTGGAAGGCTTCAGCTATCAGTTTATAACCTGGCAGATACATTAGATGGTAAACTCCTTCAGGGCAGGAACCCTGCCTTGTGCAGCTTTTATCTGGCACAGCCTTGCCATAGCTGGTGCTGATTAGTAAGTGAAGGAGAGCATGTATGACATTGCGGGGCTCAGCACAGTTGGCCTGATAAGGGTTGGAAAGTAAGTGTTTTTAGGGTTGTTATGAAATGTCTGAATTATTCATAATTTTGACAGAATGGCTTGTTAGTAAACTTTGTACATTCAGTACACAGTAGATTCTGATTACCCTTCTGTGAGGGGTAGTTAAGCTGTAGCCGTGAATTTTTGTATGAAAATTGACTTCTCACTGCTGCTTCTCGAGTTGAACTAGGTGATACTTCCTTTCTGCTTATACTAATGGTAGCTTTTAAAAGCAAGTTGCCTAAATTACAGGTCCAATCTAACATGCTGGAAACTGACCTGATCGTCAACATACCATTGGGTTGCTTGAGGAAGCCAAGCAGAGGAGGGAGAAGGTGGTGCCCAGGACAGTTCCTGGACCTGAATGTCGTGGCTGTCTCTGCCAGCAAAGCAGCTGCTGGTTTTTTTTTTTTTTTTTTTTTTTCCACATTCACAATCAGTGTGGCCCGGTACCACATCCTCGGGATGCACTGAGTGTCTTCTGCGGTGTTTGGCCATGCTGTGTAAAAGCTGGTGAGTAACCGCCTCACTAGATAAACACACCAGTGTGGTGCTCTGGTGTCACTACACAGTATACACACGCGCTTAGGAAGGTCCTGACTGTAAGGCACTAGCTCGCTAGAGTTAGTGTTAAGGTAGAAAAAGGCCGCGTGGGATCCCCATTGCAGAAGGTGAGCGGAGGAAAGATTGGGAGACTTGGAGTTTGCACTGTGGCGCGGCTTGGTGGCGGCACACACGGACCAAGCTTCCAGCCTCTCTGAACATAGCTTTCCCATGTGGGACTTGGACTGCCAGGTCCAAACGCAGACCCGTCAGGGGTAGGAGATGGTCAGATGCTCTTAGGAGTGACTGACCGCACGTGGGAAGCTTGCCGTCATCCTTCTGACCTCTCCTGGCTGCCTTTTCATCCTTCAGGTTTTGGTTGCAGGCCTCTGTGTGAGTAGCTCTCTGGTCTGCCTGCCTGCACTGTCACCGTCCCGCTGCTCTCCTTCCAAGTTACCTTGGTCTGCATTTGCTGAAATCGCTGCCTGTCATCCCCGCACCCCACAGCTCAGAAACTTCCCCACAGCACCTAGTCTGGGATGAGCGTCCCGTAACGTAGTTGCAGAAGGAGCCAGTGCTTGTGGTTTAAGCATCTGAGAGGAACACAGTGCCCATCTCCGCAGCTAATGCTTAGCTGTCCTTTGCTTCAGTCCCCGCAGTGACAACAGGACTCTCACTTAGGGAGAGGAGAGCTGGTGAAAGTGTCCCTGCGAAGCCCTGGCTTACAGGGCACAAGAACCCTGGTGGCTCTGCTCACTCCTCCCTTCATTTCCTCCTCTGCAGAGCGTAGATCCTAATCCACGCGCTTAGAGGGCTGGTGTGGGGATCAGGTGAGGCAGTGTGTAAGAAAGTGCCTTGTGATTTGTAGAGGGCCCTACAGTGTGAGGCGCACCATTGTGAGACTGCAGATCTCATGGCAGAGTCTGGCCAGCAGGCGCCCGCTGGGACCCGGGCTGTGCTAGCTTTTCGAAGAGGGTCTGCAGGCTGTGTGGAGCAGCCCCTTGACAAGTCGGGTCAGATCTGCGCTGCATCAGATACAGAGCTCAGCAGTCTCGTGCAATAGGGTGTCCGTGTCATTGAACACTGAGGGCTTGGAGAGAATTGTGCCAATCAGTGGTGGGTGGTCAGGTTGATACCGCAGCCCACCCTGTTGTGATCCATAAGCCAAAAGTACAGTCAGTGACTTCTTAGAAAAATCTGAGGGCGATGAAGTGAAACAGAAACCTTCATAAGCTCCTGGTACCTTCATAAGCTCCTGCCCATGAAAACTCTTACCAAGCAAAGTCCCCCTCCCAGCAACGTCTGTGCGCTGGCGGAGAGCGCAGTTGTAGGTGGTCAGGAGTCTGGGTTGGGAGTAGCTTGCTCACTTACGACCTGGCCTCCCGGTCAGTGGGTTCCACCTGGGGCAGCTGCCTGCCTTTTCTGCATGTCCAGCTCCTCTGTAATGAGGGTCTCGATGGAAACCCCACTGCAGAGCCAGGGAGGACTGAGTAAGCCTTCAAGCACGCAGCAGCAGCGCCTGGCCTGGCAGATAAGCGGCCGTGGATGCTAGCTATTATTAATGGCTGGGTGTTAATTGTAGCAATCCGGAGCTACCCATTGGGTAACCTAAATGCTTGTTAAATAAATTTGAAGTTTTAAAGACTCACTTCCCGTCATTAGGCCTTTGTGCTCGTTGTCATTAAGATTCAATGGATTTCACAGATTTTCACAGTTAGAAGTCCATTGTGTGCCTTTCAGAGGGAGGTGTTTCTGTCTGTATGTATTGTTGTGCTCTGTTGGGGAGGAGAAACGCTACATTCCCGCCCTCTCCCCGGCAGGACTGTGTGGGGCTGGGTGCTTCCAAAGGCTGTGGATCATGGTGGCTGAGTGAATAGTTTGTTGGCTTGCCATTTCTAAAACTGCTTTGCTGGAAAGCTGCTGTGTTGGGGGGGTGTGTAAGGCGCCCCAGACGCATCTTCACCACTCGGGCTGTGATGGAATGGTCCTGCTTGAAGTCACCCAAGAGCACTTGAATTGCATTTTATTCTAAAAGTCATCTTGACATTTTCATTTTAAAGGCGACTTCTGCTTTTCCATAGCAGCAGGGTACAATGAAGGAAATTCTTTGAACTTACCTCCTCTTTTCTTTCCTGACCCCAAATCAGCCTATTCAGACGAAATATAAAACACTGCTCTGGAGCCTTTGTTTTTGAAAAATTTCTGTAGATTGTTCTTTTGCTTTTAGTAAATAAACTCAGATTATACAGTACCGTAACTGCCATAAACACTGACTATGTAGATGAGAATCAAGTAGGGTTTTTTCCAGACTTAATCAAATTCCATGAAGCAGATAAGGTGACTGTTAATATCTTGAATAGCCTGGTTACTAGGTCTTTAGATATTCATCATCGTCAGATAGTGGGTTCTTTTTTGTTTTTTCTCAAGTGGCTAGACATTGTTTAAATGAACATAAGCCCACACTGGTGTATGGAGGAAGACCTACAATCATGGACTGTATCATGTTGCTGATTAGTTTCCTTTTTCAAATTTTACCTTAGTCTTCCCTGGTTATGGAAGTAGTTATGTAGGTAATTGTACATGCAGCTGAAAAGACCATTTATCACCCTAAACAAACAGAAATCAGGTTCTAGAACCAGATTGAAGAAGGAAATTACATCACACTCTTAAATAAGGAAGCACTGGGCAGAACTGGATGAGTTGTATGACAAAAATGTGCCCCTCCTCCTCTTGTGGATTGCTCCTGAGATTTATTAATGAGGTCTGGTGGTAAGTGAGCATATCTAGGTTACCGCCTTAAGGTAGTCTGCGAGCGTAAGAGTGTGCGTGTATTTGTTAAAAGTGCTTTAAAGAGACTGCTGTCTGTAAGCTGAAGGCAGGTGATTACCTCGTGACACAGAAGTGGGCCTTAGCTCTTGTTGTAAATGAAAGCTACCTTACGGTAAGCAGTAAAAACACAGTGGGTACATTGTAGTCCTCGGGTGGTGTGGAAGCAGAGGTACCTTCATTGTCCGGAAAACCCTCCCCTGATGGCCTCAAGCAGTCGCCGCCACAGAAAGCAGTGCAAGGCTGTCCACTTGGGTTCTGGAACTGACGCAGGTCTCCTGGCAGCCCCCTCACCCCAGCAGGGTGTACCCCTGCAGGCCTCCACTCGGTCCCTGTCTACCCTCAGCTGACCTACAGCCTGGGCAGAATGACTTCTGGATGGGTCGGGCGCTCTGTCAGTGTCCACTTAGTCAATATGAACCAGAAGGGAGTGCTGCCCGGAGGGGCTGGGAAACTGGCCCAGCACAAGCACAGAGACAGTGCTTTCCTGGGAGCGCAGTGGAAGAGGGGCGGGCCGAGGGCTCGGCGGGATTGGAACAGACTTGGAGAAGACGGCCGCAGAGTGGCAGAGGCAGGCCAGGGCCACGCCGCGGAGGCCTTGCAGCTGGTGGGCCAGCCCCTGGCTGGCCTGGGCCACGCAGCTGGAAGGAATGGTCTCGGGCTGCGTGTAACATACGTAGTTGTATAAGCAGCAAGCCTGCTTTGGGGTGGAGTATTTTGTATGATAACACAGGTGTGGAAGACTCACACGCGTGCCCGGGGAGGGGGTTTTATTTTGGGAGCCCTTGCAGGTCCTTGAGCAGGGGAAGAGGTGGTCTTGAGCGGTGGCCCTGGAGAGGATGGCTCTGATACCAGTGTGGAGGGCAGACCTGGGCAGACGGGTGCTGGGGACCAGGAGAAGAATCAAGGTGAGAAGCGGTGCAGACAGACTTTGGGGAGCAGGGCAGTTTCCTGGGCAGCAGCCTTAACTCAGGTTGAAAGTGATGCTTCAGACTAGTGTTTGCAGGGCGTAAGGAAGCGAAAAGAGGAGCCCGGTCTGGAGCACTGAGATGCCAGCCGCCCAGCCAAGTGGAAGGGTGGTCACCAGACAATGGGAGAGCAGAGAGGACGCCCGGCCAGGCTGGACCATCTATTCAGGGATCTGCTCTGTGGATCTGGGGCCGCGGAATGAATTAAGACCCGGCCAGGAGGGGGAGGGGAAGAGACAATAAACTGAGAGCCCAGAACCCCCAGGACTTGAGGTCCCTCCCCTCTCCTGGAGTTCAGGTGGGAGTCAGGCCCTGTCTGGAAATGGGATTTAAGTGCATGTTTGACTTGGTAAAAGGCTGAAGATTAGTCCATGAATGGAGGAAGGTTGTCATTGCTGTCACTCTGGTCCTGGAGTCCTGGTCTGCGCAGGGCGGCTCGGATTAGCACTTGCTTCTCTGTCTTCCCATTTCGTGACAGTGCCATCTTGTCCTCTGAGCTATTGACTTTTCCTACATAGGCGGCTTTGTTGCAGTTGTTTTCCTAAAGGACTGTGGAGCAGAACTGGTTTCCAGTTCTAAGGAGCCAGGTAACATTGGACACAGGCAGCGCTAGATTTCACTGGAGCAGGATTCCTTTCTAGCTTGCAGTGGGCCAAGCCGACTGTTTCTCTCTCTCTCTCTCTCTCTCTCTCTCTATATATATATATATATATATATATATATATATATATATATCTTCTCCTTCTGTCTCTGTCTGTCTGTCTGTCTGTCTCTCTCTCTCTCTCACACACACACACACACACACACAGCGTACACAGACTGAATACTGGATTTTCAGAGGTAGAAAAGCATTCTAGGTGGTTTCCTGCCTCAATCTACAGTTTGAAGACAAATTTTTAAAAGTTTCCTTCCAAATCTACAGGCTGTTGCTCCTTGTAGATCCCCAGCTTGAAGTTATTTTTCTGAAGAAGAGAACATGGCAATTATATCGCCCTCCTCGCTGCTCCCATGAAGGGAGTAGGAAGTTCGGACAGTTTCATAACACGGCCCATTCACAATTCCCCATTGAGATTTAGAGGCAGGTCACCTTCTATGAATACACAAAGACACTATTGTGGTCAGAAGTGAGCCGGCTTAGTGAACACAATTCTTTTTATGCTAAAAAAATTTTTTTCTTAAGAAAGCTAACAAGTAGGTGATGGAAACAATGAATAAAAAATAACTTTCTCTAGAACGTATAAATGATTTTAAGTGACCACTGAAGTGTAAGCTTAGAATTGCAAGGCAGTTTCAGCAGAGGCCGTGGTTACACAATCGTCCTGTTGAGAGCTGCAGATGGGGACGCATCGGAGGCTGACACAGTAATTGCTGGTAGTGCTCTCTGGCTTGCCGACAGGTGGGGGCTGGGGCTCGGAGCCCCCACAGCGTTTTCCTGTATCTGGGTGGACAGTCGTCTAGCGTGTGCCTCCAAACTACTTAAGCACCAGATTCTTCTTCCTAGCTTGCCTCTGAGTTTCTTACATTGCCACAGATACGTTCCCGGGGTCTTGCCAGGGTTTGTAGAGTGCTTAGGAAAAGCCCAGCAAGCCCCCGGCTGAGTCCTCGAGGAGAAAGGCTGACCGCTGGTGTAGATGGGCTTTTAAATTCTTACACACGTTATCTGGTGGTAGGTGACGCACTTGCTGCGTTTCCTCATCCAAAATCCAACCCTCAGAGACCTCCCAGTGACAGGGATTTCTTCAGTGGCAGATTTATTTTAAACCATGTGTCTTTGGGAAGCTGATTTTAAGAAAAATAATGCTTGGCTATATTGAAGTAATACTTTACATGTGTCATAAAACCTCTGCCTAGCGTGTCCAAACAGCTCCAGCTGGGTGAGGAGACAGAGAACTGGTCCCTGAACCCACTCCTCCTGTCACTGAACCTTTACCCAGTGGCACATTCCAGTGGTTTAACGTGAAAAACTCACAGAAGTGAACTGGCCTCTTGTAGACCTTTGCTCGCACGCTGTGTCTGCTCCCTGGATGCCGATGGTAGGAGCCGGATGGCAGGGTACAGTCTTTGCTTTCACACTCACCCTCGGAGCGCCCACCAACACGATGATTAAAAGGTGATTGGGGCGCAGCTGTGCCCCTGAGCTCACGGTCTGCTTGAGGTGACAGATTCGTAAATAATAGATCTGCAGTTGTTGAGCAATTGTAAAACCCGTGCGCCCCACCCCCCGCAGAGGCGGCACCGTCACCTTTGTGGCATCCGAGGCTCAGCCTGGCGCCAGCGCTTGGCAAGTATACAGATCTTCAGGGAGAGCGAGAAAGTGTTGTCACTCACGGGTCCAAATTCCCAGAGGGTCCTCATGCAGTGGACAGCACCATGGCATCCAAGGTGCAGAAACTGGTGCTGACGAACTCTGTGTGACAAATACCAAAGAAGGGGATTAAAAAGAGACCGTGGGGCCTGGCGTCACACTGGACGGGGAGGCCTCCTAACGTGTAGGAGAAATGTCCTGGCCTCCGTGGTCAGCGGCCAGGCAGAGCCGTGATGAGGGAGAATGCACAGAATGTACCTGGGGTTTGTCTGTAAGGGAGGGCGGCTCCGTGCCCGGCTGCTGTCCAAGGCAGTGAACTTGCGGTCCTGCAAAACTTGATTTTCACAGGATAATGGAAATTAGACTCTTCACACAGGACTTTGTTTTGGAGGAAGTAAGAACTGGAGAAGGTCTTCATGGCCAGGACAGACGCCTAGTAGATGCTGGGCTGCCGGACAGCGGGGCACCAGGACTGCAGAATCTCGCTGAGGTGTCGGGGTTTCCTGCACAGCAGTCCGCAGTCTGAAACACGCTGTGTTTCTGAATGTACTCTGTTAGCGTGGGAAATGAACCAGACTCACTGGCGTGTCTCGGCCTCGGAACAGGGGCGGCAAGACTACGGCAGGGGTGGTTTTTTTGTTTTTTTTTCAAACCAAAACCTCGGTGTTCAGGTTTCATTGCAGCGTGGACATTTTGTGCTAAGTAAGGGGGTGTTGGGTTAGAGTTCGGCGTACGACTCTAAAAAGTTTGCCATCCCTGCCTTAGGAGGTTGGTTTAATGGGGCCCCAGGGTTGGGGTGCTTTGGGAAGGGAGCCTGATCTGTTTCTGTAAGGACGGATTGGTCCTCATTCTGCAAGCATATTTCCAGTCGCTGGAAATATGTGTCACTATGTAGATCTATCAGGACACATATATGTAGATGTATGGGAGTATGTGTGTAATATCGGGGTGCACATTTACCCTCATAAGAAGTAAAATGTGAAGGCCTGTAGCTGGATTTTTCTCCTTCACACGCCTCAAATTCTCTAACATTGACGTAGCTATGCCACAACTCGAGTGTCCTAGGACAGATTTCGGATTGTTCCCTGATTCCCGCTCCCTCCTCTTCTCGCCCCCTCAGGGAATGACAGCCAGCGGCTGACTTCAGACCTGGGCTTCCCAGACTCGGAGGCATCGTGGGTCAGGCACGATGTCCACGGCGGGAGTTGCTGCTCAGGAGATTCGAGTCCCGCTGAAGACCGGATTTCTGCACAATGGCCAGACCCTGGGGAACGCCAAGACCTGCTGGGGCGGGCGCAGTGAGTTTGAAAAGTAAGTGGAGGGTGCGAGGCCTCCGGCCTCAGTGTGACAGAGGGAACGACGGCTGCTGCAGTGTGACCGAGCCGAGCCGTTTCCTTCCTTTCCTTGCCCTCCAGGACCTTCTTAAACATGGACCCCATCACCATGGCCTACAGCCTGAGCTCTGCGGTCCCCCCGGAGCACCCGCCGTCTGTCAGTATGTATCCTGGCCCCTGGGCTGGGGACACGGGCCGGGAGGGGGCGCTGGCCTGGCCTGGCCTGGCCTGGCCTGGCCTGGCCTGTCCAAGGTGGAAACCTGAGTGCTGTCCGCCGATAGTCTGACCCCTAGTGGCAGCAGCTTCTGAAGCTGGTTTTGTTTCTCTGCTCCTAACGCGGCAGTCCCCTGCCATTGCCAGGGCTGCAGTCACCGCCCCTGGTGAGACGGTGGAGGGGTCTTTCCCGGGCCGGGGGCTCTCTGCTGCTGTGCTGTGCTTCAGTCTGCACCTTTTGACACTTCGGAGAAGAGCTCGGCTTCCTAGTAATAGTGATACCAGTGTGAAAGTGTTCGGTGAAAGTGGGGTGGGGTTCAGCACGGCCTGGGAACCGCTCTACACAGCCCTGGGGATGGGAACTGGCCGTTCCTAAATTTCTTCGAGCTGCTTATCAGGAACGCACTGCCTGGGAGCCCATGCTCAGTGGTCAGCTGTGCTGGCCGTGAGGAGGGGAAGGTCCTTCCCCTCCTCACCCGGCCTGGCCAGGTGTGGCCCTGTGTGGTTGCGTCTTACGCAGCAAGGCCGGTGTTGCTTGGTACTTGCAGAAATTACCTGCTGCTCACCTCCTGGACGTTTTGCACACATCCCAGAGCATGCCTGAGCCGTGCGGGTGTGCGCCACGTGCGTGGCCGAGCGGGATGGAGGAAGTGACTTGTTCTCCGAGCAGGTCACGTGCATTCACCATCCTGTGGCTCTGGTCAGCCCTGAGGTGAGATGGCAGTGTCCCCCATGCTGGGGAGCAGTGTCAGTCCTCACGAACACCCCTTGTCCATTCCAGGGCACCCCACACAGTCCGCTCCGATGAATGGCCACTGCTTTGCGGAAGCCAGGCCCTCTCGAAAGGCCAGCCTGCCCCCGCTCATCATTCCCCCAAGTGACAGCATGGGCCCACGTGAAGAGAGCCAAGTGCTGGGTGGCTTCAAGAAACTCTCGGTGAACGGGGTCAGCCCCGCCACCCCGCCGCTTACCCCAGGGAAGACCTGCTCCTCTTCGCTCCCATCCGGCACGGTGCTCTGTGAGCGGGGCTCCAGGCCTCTGCCCCCGCTGCCCATCTCTGAGGCGCTGTCCCTGGACGAGACAGACTGCGAGGTGGAATTCCTGACCAGCTCGGACACCGACCTGCTCTTGGAGGACTGCACGCTTTCTGACTTCAGATACGACCTTCCTGGCAGGCGGAGCTTCCGCGGGTGTGGACAGATCAACTATGCCTATTTCGACACCCCCAGTGTTTCAGTGGCAGATCTCAGCTGTGAGTCCGACCCGCATGGGGAGGTGCCTGGTCCCCACCCGCCTCCTGCCCAGGCCCATCGCAAGTTAAGGAGGTCTCACTCGGGCCCTGCCGGCTCCTTCAACAAGCCCGCCATCCGCGTGTCCAGCTACATGCACAGAGCCTCGCCCAACTCCGATGAGGACAAGCCTGAGGTCCCTCCCAGGGTTCCCATCCCACCCCGGCCAGTGAAGCCGGATTACAGAAGGTGGTCTGCAGAAGTGACCTCCAGCACCTACAGCGACGAGGACAGGCCTCCTAAAGTCCCCCCAAGAGAACCTTTGTCCCGCAGCAACTCTCGCACGCCGAGCCCCAAAAGCCTTCCGTCTTACCTCAATGGGGTCATGCCCCCCACCCAGAGCTTCGCCCCGGATCCCAAGTACGTCAGCAGCAAGGCCCTGCAGCGACAGAACAGCGAAGGCTCGGCCAACAAGGTGCCCTGCATCCTGCCCATCATCGAGAACGGGAGGAAGGTGAGCTCCACACACTACTACCTGCTGCCCGAGCGGCCGCCCTACCTGGACAAGTACGAAAAGTTTTTCAGGGAGGCGGAAGAAAGCAGCCCGGGCACCCAGATGCAGCCTTTCCCTGCTGACTGCGGCGTGGTCTCGGCCGCAGAAAAGATGGATTCCAAGACGAAGCCCGAGCCGAGCGGCCACGCGAAGCGCAAACACTTGTCCTACGTGGTTGCTCCCTAGACCTGGGCGTGGGGCGGCGGGTGACGCAGGAGGAGGGTTCTCCGTCTTGCAGTGTGAGTTTCCCAGAACAGTGTGTCAGATGCTGAGTGGAACAGTGGAACTCGTGTAAGGAGGACATGGGCGAGCAGGCGGGAGGCGCGGCGACGCCAGGAGGGCTGTCCAAGCCTGAATTTGCAGGGTGGGAGCGCAGGACGGAAGCCTCGGGGAGTGAGCTGAGCGCCTGATGGGCCTGTGCTGGGACCGCCGCGGCTGCGGGCTCCCCGGCCAGGTGCTGTCCTGTCGTGGAGTGAGACGTGCTCAGGCCGGTGAACACCAAGCCAGAGCGCTGCTCCTGAGAGGCCGGAAACTGAGCACACGGAAGCAAAAAGCAGTATTCTTCAGATCCGAATCATTCAAAAAGGTGGTTCTCAGTTAGTGTGCTGGCAGATCGCCGGCTTAGGCCTGCTAGGTTTTGGTCACTTACTTTCCCCAGCCGTGTCTGTGCCTGCCTCGTTCAGAATCATCCCAAGACCTCCCATTGCCAGCGTGCGGATTTTTGTCTTGTGGAGCGGAAGGACAGCAGTCTGTCCAGAACCGTGTCGCCGCCTGTATGCGTCTCACATCTTGGACAAAGCAAAGATAAGAGTCATTTTCCTTAAAGCTCCTGCTGACTGACAGGGAAGTGGCCCACTGCGCTGTGGGCCCCGGGGACAGCGGGACCTGACCAAGTCGGACACAGGCGCGCCGGCACTGGGGTTCAGGGCGTCCCCGCTGCAAAGGGCTGCGGCAGGTAGTGGCGACCGAGAGTCACTGTGTGGGGTGCGCGTGGTGTTTCTGGGGTTTAGACTGTTGATAAACAGGTACAACACAAGCTGGCCTTGTGTTGCTGGTTCCTAGTCAGTATTTCCTGGAATTGTTTGCTTTTCAAGTAAAACACTTCTGACCAAGAGCACGGATGTCTTAATGCCAGAGGTCACCCGGGCATCGTGCTGTGCTGAACACCCTCCCGGCCGGCTGCTCCGCTGCCCCGGACCCAGCGCGGTCCTGTCTCCGTGTCCGCTGCGCTTACGCTGCTCGGATAGGCACGGAAGAGAAGGTGCTCGCTGAGAGAGGAACGTGACCGCGATGTCCTCCTACCAGTTCAACAAGCCGTTTACAGTTTCAACTGCTGAATGATGTTATTTGAGCTATTTAAAGCTTATTATATTTTAGTATGAACTAAATGAAGGTTAAAACATGCTTTAGAAAAATGCACTGATTTCTGCATTATGTGTACAGTATTGGACAAAGGATTTTATTCATTTTGTTGCATTATTTTGAATATTCTTTTCATTTTAATAAAGTTATAATACTTATTTATGACACCACCAGTAATGCTTCTTGCCTTCAGCCCTCATAAAGTGTCTCCGTGTAACAGCCCTGTCACTTCTCACAGGAGGGACGGGCCCAGGTTTCTGTTGGAATGTAGTCATTCTCCAAACATTGAGCTCAGAGGCTTCCTACAGAAGGTGCTGCTTGCATTTGCCTGTCGTGAGGACTGTGGCCTTCGTTCCGGTGTTGCTGTTAAAACAGTTCCACATTTGGGGGTTCCCACTGAGGAAAATGCAGACTGGGCCAGGACCCCCGCTTCCTTGTTCTTCGGGGGTGATAGCCGCTGTGGCCCGGGCTGCTTCTGAGGAGGATGGGGGCAGGAAGCCCGCTCCTCCTCGCTCATTGGTGGGGGGACGGCGTTACGGCTGCACACAGACAGCAGTGACCGAACCCTGGGAGGGCCTTGTCTGCCAGCGTCCTGTGGTCATTGACTAAGGTGGGCCTGGGAAGAGAGTCCAAGCAGTGCGACGTGGGGTAGGCATCGGAAGGGTGACAGTGAGCAGGAAGGCGAGTGCAGAGGAAGCCAGTGAGTCTGCGTGTCTGTCTGTCTGAATACACTGGGCAGGCGGGTGCCAAAGCTGCACTCCCTGCTGCGCAAGGGGAGAGGGTGGCAGAGGAACCCAGTGCCATCCCTGCTCGCTCTTAGGAAAGATGACCTGACCACGGCTGAGAGTGGATGTGACAGGGACTCCAGAGGCCTGGGCAGTGGCAGCACCGGAGACCAGGCCTGGGCAGGGCGGGCAGAAACGTGACCAGTAGATCCCTGGAGGCAGAAGTGGCAGGTTCCTGGAGGACTGGAGGTGGCTGCCAGGGAAGGGCAGGGACTCGGGCCGTCCCTCTGCTGCCTGGCACAGGGTGGCCGCGAGCGCCTGATGGGGACTGGGCCCTCCGTATGCGTCTCCTGTGCCCACCTTGCCTGTGTGCTGCAGGTGAGAGGATCTGCAGTCCCAGCTTGCTTTCCTCTTGGTTTTGCACGAATCTTTTCTGTGTCCCCAGCCACACAGATGTGATGTGCCTGGCCGCCGTGCTGACGGCCCACAGTGGACAGCAGGGCGCTAAGCACTTGCTGCTGGCTCCCCGTCTGTCACTGCACGCAGGCTGAGCGCGAGTCCCTGTGGCCAGCTTGTCTCAGCCCTTCCAACCCGGCTGTCGCTCCCATGAGCCGTGGCTTCACACAGGGCGGGTGACCTCACGGAGACCCATGGGGTCTGGCAGCAAAGTCCTGGCTGGAACTGGGGAGCCCAGACTGTGGTCCTGATCGCTCAGTCTCCACCCTGACCCCCGCGAGCCCTGCGAGCCCCTGAACTGCGTCAGTGCTGTGACCGTGCCACCTCCCACCGCACCCGGATGCAGGGCTGGAAGGGCCCCTTGTGAACCAGCTCGGGGGTTCCCAAGCCATGGCCTCCTGCTGCAGGAATCGGCTGCCTGCCGCGCGCTAGCGACCTCACAGCCATGCCAACAAAGCAGGGCTGTTTGTCGCTTAATTCCTTCTAGGTCTCAAGAGCTGTCTTTCTGATGACATGAAGAACTGTCTTCAAGAGGCTGGTTCTCTGCACGGGACCTTGGTAAAGAGCGGAAAAAGGCTTCTCAAGTGATCCATCATCTGTTACCCAGAGCCACATCCCGGAACGGCTCTGCTTGCTGGGGATGGGACAGGGCCCTGCTTTGCGAGAGCTGTGTCCCCAGCCCCCAGATCAAAACACCGGTTACACTGCTCTCTGGTTAGTTCCTCAGTTCTTCATGTAATTAATAGTCTTAGGATACATTGGAGGTTTTTTCCTTAAAAGTAAGCAAAGCCTCCCACAGTTAAACTTTATCTTGGAATAATTATAGACTCACCTTTCAAAAATCGGAAAGGTCCTCTGTCCTCATTACTCAGAGTTCATGGATGATAACATATTATCAAATCCAGAAGGTGACACTGGCTGCTCAGTAGTGTGTGTGTGTGTGTGTGTGTGTGTGTGTGTGTGTGATACTGGAAATGGAACTCAAGACCTCACGTTTGCCAGGCAGACACTGTGCCACTGTGCCAAATCCAGCCCCTCAGTACTGTTATCTAGAAGAAGTTACTATGAAGATGAACTTTAGGCCGAGTGTGGTAGCGCATGCCTGTAGCCCAAGCACTCAGGAGGCTGAAGCAGGAGGGCTGCTGTGAGTTCAAGGCTAGCCTGCACTACATAGTGAGTTGAAGGCCAGCTTGGATGATATAGCAAGAACCTGTCTCAAAAATAGAACTTTAGTTCTCCTTTATTTTTGTTTACTTATTTATTTACTTAGGGACTAGGTCTCATTATTCAGTTCAGTCTGGCCTTGAGCTCTGTAGCCTCAAACTTGCAATGATCGTCCTGCCTTAGTCTCCCAAGTGCTGGGATTACAGGCCTGTACCACCACACCCAGATTTGGCTCTACTTTTAACAGTTAATTTAGAAATTAATTTTGGCATTCTGTGAGGCATTTTCTAAAAAAGTTAATGAGACTTTAAAAGATGTCACATAAAGAGACGTGATGCTCAGTCTAGCTGGGAAGACCATGGTTGTATGTTAACTTCAGTCTGCCAGGGCTCCCTCCAGGACTGAGCCCTAGGAGAGACTTTAAAATCTGAGAATTCATAAATGGTTTTTCCTTAAAGACCTCCAGATAATCCATAGGCTTAAAGTTCTACAGCTTTTCGTCTGCAGTGTGTAACAAGCCAGGAGGCAAAGGCATTCACTTCTAATCCAGTCAAAGCTTTGAAGTACTCTTGACCTAAAGAAAGTAAGTTTTGTCCAGACTCCAGCACACGCAGGGACTTGTCTCTGCAGACTGGGTCATTTGGCAAAATGTTCTGGCCCTTTGCTGCGCTGCAGGGAATCACACAGCGTCTAAGAGCAGTTTCAGGGCTTTCTTTGAGTTGAAGTAAATCTGGAATCTGGTCGGAGGTACCTTGTCTCTGCACGGCCGCCTCACCTCTCTCCCCGCACACCACAGACCGGTGAGTTAGGTTTGTCCGATGCAACGTGCTTTGTGGGAGGGTGTGATTTTTCTTGCTTTTTCACATGAAAGTGGCGAACTTCAAGACACTTCTGCCTAAGCCGCCAGGAATCTGCTAGTGCGGCGTGTTTCAACCTGCTCGCCCTGCTTCTATGTACCTGCTGGAATTCAGAGCGCTAGCACACTCACGTGCGCATGTGTGTTTCTGCACCTAAGCAAATCCAGCGCGCCAGAGCAGCCCCACAGCTGTCACTGTTCCTGGGAGTCCTCGCCACCTGACAGCAGGTCGGGTGCCCGGAAGAGCTGGGCAAAGATCGCTCCACGTGCCCGTCTGCCCCCGTCTTTGGAAGGGTGCTGCCGCCGGCCCAGCGTCTCTCTTACGCCGTTGGTTGCCTGTCACGGATTGCAGACACCTACCAAGAACCCGGCCTCGCAGCCTGCCAGGTCCACCCACACGCGCCATCTGCCCCTTTCCTCAAGAAATGGCCAAGAACCGGTCCTGAGGAGCGCGGGACACTCGGAAACACGCCGCCTTCGCTCCTTGCGGATACCTCTGCATCGACGTCACTGAACATCTCAGTCGCGCGCCTTGCGTGGATTTCATTTTGCCGTCACGAGGGCCCCGCCCGGCTCCTTCCCGGCCCGCCTGGCTTCCGCACCCTCCCCGCTGTGTCAGCCGCGGTGAGTTGTGTCTTTCTGGCCCCAGCGCCAGCCTTTCTTCCCTCTGGCTGCACGTCGGGCACAGCACGCGGGAAGCTGTGCCCTGTGTGTCCTGAGTTCCTGGTTGTCCTCGTGTCCTCATACACAGTGCTTCTGCTCCATCACTAATGGGAGCTCTTGGCCGAGCAGAGCCAGCTGACAGTTCCTGCAGTTGGGTGAGTGATGGGAGCCTGGCTCGCCAGCTCCGGGCTGCAGAGGCAATTGAGCACCCACAGCAGCGCCAGCGCAGGATGGGACTTGTCGGTGCACCGCCTGGTCCCGGCCCGGAGCCTCTAATTACACGTCTGCTGGTTGCAAAAGCCCAGGTGGCCTGCCCCGCCCCCCAGCTGGGCAGAGATAGCACGGCCCAGCTCTCCCTGCCTGTGCAGGGCACCTCCAGCCCGGGCGCCACTCGGTCACCCACTGCATGTCCACATTCCAAAGCAAACAACAGCCTATTGAACTGTGTGGTTTTTCCTTTAAATCCCTGACACGGCTTTGTTTTCCTGTAGACATCGAGCCCCAACTCTGGCTTTTACATCTCAGCTCTGCATCTGCGGGAGTACAGGCTTGAGTACCTGCAGTGGCTTCGTCTTGAGCGGTGCCCTGTGCACCCACGTGCTTGCAGATTGCTCTCACAGTACCCATTCGTCCGGGCCTGCCTCGCTGTTTGCGAGCACTCAGGATCAGCCTTGGAGCCGGGAGACTTTTTGAAAGTGCAGAGGCTGGGTGTGGTAGTGCCTGGGAGGCTGAGGCAGGAGGATCACAAATCTGAGTCAGCCTCGGCAACTTGGCAAGACCCTGTTCAAGGAATAAAAAGGGCCAGGACTGCAGCTCGGATGCTGACGACAGAGGCCCGAGGATGGGTGTGGTCCAGTGCAGGGCTTATGCTTGGCAGGCACAAGGCTTGGGGTCAGTTCTCAGCACAAAACAAAACGGAACAAGAGGAAATCTTTCTCACGCTGTGAAACACACACAGTGCTTGTGAGTCGTGTTAAGAATATCAGTGTGCGGGAGGATTCTGAGGCGCCAGCCAGAAGCCTGTTTCTGTATTTTGTTTTGGAAGGTGCATTTCTCCCCTCCCGACTTAGTGGATGCTGCGCCCGCTCGGCTGGTCCTTTTGCAGAATTCACAGATGCCCCTCGTCTCCCCGAAAGATGAGGCTGATAGGGATCTCCTAAGGAAACCGACGTGCCCAACGCAATGTTCCTTTAATTTTCTCCCTCCGGGCTGGGGATTTAGTTCACAGCATAAGCGCCTGCCTTGCAAGCAGGCAGTCGTGAGTTTGATCCCCAGTACCGATAAAAAGGAAAAAGACAAAAAA